CAGTTTATCACTCCTGAACTTTTGGAGAGGTGTAACACAGGCACCACTGCCCAAAAACTGACCAACGACCTTCTCCGTGGACTCTACGAGAGGGAATGCCTGGCTTCCCACTCCATATCTGGAGTCGTATACAACAAAAGAGGCCAGCCAAAGCCTGCTCTGCCCACCGAAGAGGTCCAGGCAATCCTGAGTAAGATTCTCTTCTGTCATTTCGAAGATTGTTAAAATTTAGACTAATTTGAATCTATTATACCTAATTTTCTGAAATATTCTCATACAGGAACTGTTCAGTATTTCTTTCCTGGCAAGACTGACGTAGAGATCAAGGGCTACATCCGACAGAAACTGCAAAACGAAGCCAAGAGGCTGAGGAAGAAACCGTCACTCTCAGGCCAATACGAGTCTAGAGGTCTCAATCTACCGTTAGATGTGATCGACCAAAATTGAAACATACAGTTAGTGGATATCAATTGTGTGTTCTCCATTAAATTAGCCTTATTCGGTGTTAGTTACATTTAAGAGTCCTGGACTCAAGTGAAATTGATGTGCATTGACAATAGTCTTCAAAGAAAGTCACAATGATCTCTTGCGGCAGTCTTTTGGCTGTTGGCGGTTGTGGCGTTACTGATGTGAAAATGCAAATTAGCGATTCCAGATAAGTCCAAATGTTGCATTCATGAAGGGCTTTGGCTGAAACGAGCACAGTCGACGCTTAGATATCGAGATGTTTAGATATTAATGATGTATTCCTGTGAACGTCTGGTTTTTTTTATACTTTGTATTTAACAGATGTAGGACTTCAGGACGTACCATTGTGCGAGAAGTGTAATAGGCTGTGACTATTATTTACATTGTATATTTTCAATGTATTTCTTATTTGACGATGTTCTTTGGTCTATATGACAACAGTTTTATGTATGTAGTTTTTTGTTATTAAATGCTGAAAACGCATGTGTGCTTACTGGTATTAGCTTTTGAAATTTTTTTTAGTTTTGTTCAATATGGTTTTTGATTGTTAATGTGTGACACGATGAAATGGATGTGGGAAAGTTGGTAGGTGTATTATCATGTACAATGCCTTCTCAATGAGGGCCATTGAGAACAATGCAAGCTGCATGTGGAGAGCTGGTGAGACAGAGAGAATCAATGACTGAGCGACACAGGCAGAGTGACAACAGCAGGGGTGCTGGGCCAGTTGTCTTGGCAACCTCAGTCTTCTGGGCCACAGCAGTCTGGGTCTTACCCTGGCCATCGCCTCTGAGCATCTGCCCGCTGCAGGGATGGGGGCTTTTTGACAAACAAATGAAAGGCAAAAAGCTTTTAGGGCCCAAAAAGTGATTAGGTCTGTCACCCAGTGGCAATTTTAGTCCTCGTTTGATCATCAGTATGATGTTTCAGTGGAATATTTGATAAATGCTCAGACCGTTGTCTTGTTTTTCCACTCTTGTCGACTGGGCGGAAAACAAAGTGTTTTGTAATGGCTGCTCTTTTAAGCTTCTGTGTCAGTAAACAGAGGCCTGTCTGGCCTGATTGATGGCACAGGCGATGATTGGGCCGAGCGCAACCCTCTACTTATCATAGCTTCATCAAAGAAAGTGGGGGGATAGGCGGAGACAGACAAAAGAAAGGATGCGTGTGCATTTCGCAAACCAGTGAAGTGAGAATGTGCCACAGATAATATCTTGGTTAATTGTCGTCATGATCGACGATACAAAATCTGCAATACCAATGTGGTTTAAAATATGGGTCTGAAGATGAATATTGAGGATCTAATGGACATCATCTTTGCACACCCCTTAGATGTAGGGGTGTGCAAAGATGATGTCCATTAGATCCTCAATATTGTGAGAATAATGTGTTTCTGCCATGTGATTAAACCAGCTGCCCCAGGGCAAAACAGAGACAACACTGTGATAAAGCATCAGGGGAGATGTATGGCTAGTCTTTTAGATGAGTTGAGATGCAGTATCTATGACAATCATATGCTGTTATAATGTAATTATATTTTAATATATGTTTACAAAAGAATACATGAATGGAATTAATCTTTAGGTGACTATATAAGGAAACATTCTAGGTATGTTCTCTAATGTTCAAACAGTTGGGGTTGGTTAGATTGTTTAAATGTTTTTAAAGAAATTTCTTATACTTATCAAGCCTGCATTTATTTGATCCAAAATATAGTAAAAACAATAATATTGTAAATTATTATTATTTAAAATGAAAGATTTCTGATTTAAAATTGATTTATTCGTGTGAGACAATGCTGAATTTTCAGCAGCCGTTACTCCAGTCTTTAGTGTCACATGATCCTTCAGAAATCATTCTAATGTATGCTGATTTGGGGTCGCACATTTCTTATAAATGTTAAAAACAGTTGTGCTGCTTAATACTTTTGTGGAAACCATGATAGTTTTTTTTCAGGATTTTTTGATGACCAGATCATTTTTAACGATGTAAAGTCTTTTACTGTCACTTTTGATCAGTTTAATGTGTCCTTGCTGAAAAAGAAAAAAGGTATTACTTTCTTAAAAATCTTAATGACCCCAAACATTTTAACAGAAGAGTGTTTAAAAAAACACCACAAATAAGAGTAAAATGCATCAACTGTCTGTATCGCCCCTCTTAAAATGGTGTTTTGGCATATTCCACCTCAGAGGTTTGACCTTATATTCTATTTCAACTAAAATCATTATGATCTGTTGACATAACATTCATTTTATTGTAGTAAAACATTTTTAAATTAATTTTAATTACCAAAAATGTAATATTTAGCTGTGCCCCACATTTGCATGCAACCCTGTTATGCTGCATTAATTTAGCAATTTTTGAGTGCTTTCATCAAACTCAGCCTTAAAACTAGTAACCTATATACAGTGGGTACAGAAAGTATTCAGACCCCCTTAAATTTTTCACTCTTTGTTATATTGCAGCCATTTGCTAAA